TCGGATCGGGGCAAACATTGGCATAGTGCCCTGGACGGTTGCAGTTGAAACATGAGTGCTGGTTCGCGAGGCACTCACCTCCATGGGACTTGCCGCATCTCGGGCAGGTATGGTTGCCGATGGGGCGATTATCGCGATGACCGAAATTCCCTTTCTTTCCTTTCTTTTTGTTCTGAAAATCGGACTTCTTCTTGCCCGAGCTAGAGCTGGGCGGCACAGAGGTAATAGGCTGGGCATACTGAACAACGGTCTGAGAAGGCTGGGAGGCATGAATATATGAAGGGACTGGAGCTATCGGAATGAGACAGCTCTCCACCTCCTGAGCCCGACTCACAGTGTCGGCGAAAGACATCAATCCGTGACTTCCCACCAGTTCACGGATCCTCTGATTGAGCCCCTTAAGAAACTTGCGGCCTTCTTGGCATCGGTATTCACCGAGTCGCCAGCAAAAAGACACATCAGGGTGAAAGTGCGAATATACTCGTCCACGGTGGAGCTGCCCTGCTGCAAATGGTAGAACTCATGCTCCATCCTATCCCAGAAACTCTGGGGAAGGAACTTGCCACGCACCATCGTTTTCATCTGTTCCCAAGTGAGAGCATGAAGCTCCGCCTCTGGCTTCCGAGCCCAGTGGTCAATCCACCAGTCAGAAGCGTCCTCCTTCATCTGATAAGCTGTGAGTGATACACGTTGTTGGTCCGGGAGAGGAAGTACAGCGAAAATCTTATCCAACTCTTTAATCCATTCCAGTACTGCAGTGGGGTTCTCAGTCCCCGTGAAAGTCGGTGCATTCATTCTCTGAAACTGGACTATAAGCTGGGTCAAGTCCATGGTAGGAGGGGCCTGGTGATAACGAGGAGGCGGGGAAGGAGACAGAGATAGCTGACGGTTACGATTGTTACGGGTATTCATAGATCTACATTGAATAAGCCGAACAATGTTTAGCACAAAACAACAATAAAATCATGATTCCAGAAGTCTAGAGTTCGCCTTTAAACACTAGAGTTCGATTAAATCAAGGTGGAAAGATCCTAAGCCCCAAAAATAACAATACTCTACATAAATATTCTCATTGTTACATGTGTACAAATTCACAATTTACCCATTAAGCATTTTCATTAATACTTAAATAAGAACATACCTTAAGCAGTTCGGCATGACGGAGACGAGTGGTCAATACAAGGTCAAATTCACATAATCACATATAAACCAGTCTACACAAACGCAGACTGGCTCTGATACCAAACTGTAACACCCCACTTTGATTTTAAAGAAATTCCGGACTTTCCAAAAATCAGAAAATAGTTTTTCAAGATCATTTTCGAAATCTAACGGGTGTTAAACAATATTTTTCATAACCCAAGTCTTATCTGGGCCCACGGAGATTCATTATCCGGTTTTCACAAGTTTTTCATTAACCCAAATCATATCACATAAAAAAATACTTGTTTGTAATATTTTTGGGCAAGTAATAACCGAGTTACCCGACTCGGGTCGTTCTC